TTCAGCAGGCATTAAACTGGAGTTAACTGGAATGACTCACAAACTGTAAGGCATGGGCTATTTTTTTTTTTTACTCCTTGCTACCATCAAATCAATTCTGACTCAGTGGCCCTACAGACAGAGTAGAACACTGGTGGCTTCAGCAGCTTTATTTTTAAAAAAATAATTTTATTTATTTTTTACTTTCAAATTCATGAAAGCATGGAAAATTAAGCCACTTAACTCTTTCCCTCTGCTAAGGGAAAGAAAACAACCCAAGTCATTAATATCACATCACTTTGAAAGAACTGGACCTCAGCTGGAAGCACCTGAATTTTATAAACCAAAGCTCAAAATTATATTCAGTGATGATGGTAAACTCCCAAATTGGGCGATTGAATAGGTTGATTCAGTTTATATCTTCTTGCTTTACTTGGCAAACAAAAGACAGTAAGACAATGGGGAAAAAATAAGTTGCTTTGCCCCCAAAGTTAGATATTCTGTTATTGGCTATATTCTTTTTCTCCTAACAACTATTAGATTGAATGTTTGGTAAAAGTTTACACAATTTGGGTTTCCCTCAGATAATGTCCACACAAATTGTCCACCGGCATTCATCCATCACACATACCACTACAAACCAACATTCTGTTTCCTTGTGTTAGTCCTTTTCCTTTCTTGTACTCTAGTTTCCCTGTCCTCTCATGTTCTCTTTGCTTTTGAGTGACTGTTGACCTTTTGGTGTCATGCAAATTGCTGTTAAGCATGACAAGAATGGGCGCTAAGTCTTCACAGGAACAGAAAGGCTCACCTCTCTCCCTTGGAGCTGCTAATGGGTTCTAAACTGACCTTGTGGTTAGAAAGCCAACTCTTAACCCAAAGCCTTTTATTGACCTCCTCACCTGGCCATGATAGGTTACATCATACCTCCCAATTGTTAGCATCTGGCCCATAGGATGTCCTTCTTGGTCAGGTAGGCCTTCACTCATTGGTCTCAGGTGTGTTTCAGTGCTCAGGCACCAGGACCAAAGACCAAATTGTTACCACACCTTGTACTTGATAATACTTTGAATCCTGAACCATTAAATTCAAGTGGCCCCTTACTGTTGGCCAGCGATCCTGGCATATTTCTGTAGTTTGCTCTTCCATGCTACTGGAGGATTGTTTCCTTTCTTCTCGCCTTCAGTTCCTCAGTGCACTAGCTTCCATCTTGGTTCACAATTTTTTTTTTTTAATCATTTTCTTGGGGGTTCTTACAGACACAACTTATTTCTTTGCTAACTCATAGAAACTGATTAAAATCATGAAAAATAATTTGTGTAGTCTCCCTAGTAACACATATCGCTGACTGCTTTAGAAACTTTACTCTTATATTCTCTCCTGTTACAGCTCTAAACTGTTTGTACACTTGCCTAGAGGCATGCCTTCTACTTGTCTAGTAAATCCCATCTTTTCTTGCCTAAGAGAACATTGGTTCTAGAATATCTCCTCTCTCTTGTAAAATCAGAATTACCTCCTCTGTTGTACTATTACTGTCTATAATCATACATTGGAATGTGTGTATTGAGTATTCTAGGTGCTATTCATATCTTAGTGGGACATTTATTCTAACTGGGACAACAGAAAACAAAAATTGTAAGAAATAAGTGATTTTCTGATATGTTATAAGGTGTTAACATGCAATGGAAAAGAATAAAACAGGTAGGAGGAGTTAGGAGTTTTACATTAAGGATGCAGTTTGTGTTAAATAGGATGGTCAAGGTGAGTGTCAATGTGAAGATAAGATTGATTTAAAATTTTAAGGAGGTGAGCCCTTGATAATTTATAAATTATTATTTTGTCATATCTTGCCCTGCCCGACGTCTCCCTTCACCCACTTTTTTGTTGTCCGTCCCCCAGGGAGGAGGTCACATATGGTTCCTTGTAATCAGTTCCCTCTCTCCAACCCACTCTCCCTCTACCCTCCCAGTATCGCCACTCACACCACTGGTCCTGAAGGGATCATCCATCCTGGATTCCCTGTATTTCCACTTCCTATCTGAACCAGTGTACATCCTCTGGTCTAGCCAGACTTTCAAGGTAGAATTTGTATCATGATAATGGGGCCGGGGAGGAAGAATTTAGGAACTAGAGGAAAGTTGTATTTTTCATCATTGCTACATCGCACCCTGACTGGCTCGTCTCCTCCCCGAGACCCCTCTGCAAGGGGATCTCCAGTGGCCTACTAATGGGCTTTGGGTCTCCACTCCGCACTCCCCCCATCATTCACTATGGTAAGATTCTTTGTTCTGATGATGCCTTATACGTGATCCCTTTGACACCTCATGATCGCACCAGATGGGGTGATTCTTCCATGTGGGCTTTGTTGCTTCTGAGCTTGATGGCTGCTTTTTTACCTTCAAGCCTTTAAGACCGCAGACGCTATACTTTTTGATAGCCGGGCACCATCAGCTTTCTTCACCACATTTGCTTATGTAGCCATTTGTCTTCAGTGATCCATTCAACACCCCGTGATCACACAGGCTGATATGTTGTTCCATGTGGGCTTTGTTGCTTCTGAGCTAGATGGCCGCTTGTTTACCTTCAAGCTTTTAAGACCCAGACGCTATATCTTTTGATAGCCGGGCACCATCAGCCTTCTTCACATTTGCTTATTCACCCGCTTTGTCTTTAGCTGTTGTGTTGGGAAGGTGAGCATCGTAGAATGCCAATTTAATAGAAGAATGTATTCTTGCATTGAGGGAGACCTTGAGTGGAGGCCCAATGTCCTTCTGCTACCTTAATACTAAACCTGTAAATATAGGCACATAGATTTATTTCCCCATCGTCATATAAATATATTTGCATATGTACATGTCTTTATCTAGACCTCTATAAATGCCCTTTTCCTCCCAGCTCTTTCCTCTCTTTCCCTTGATTTTCCTCCTGTCCCACTATCATGCTCAGGCCCCACCAGGGTTTCAGCTCTTCCTCTTTGTTACATTCCCCTTGATCATGCCCTGCCAGGCCTAGAACACAATTTTCATAGTAACTTTATCTCAGAAAACTCAGTTCATTTCTATCTAGTCAATTCCGACTCATAACAACCCTACAAGACAGGGTTGACCTGCCTTTGTGAGTTTCTGAGACTGAAAATTGTTTACAGCAGTAGAAAGCCCCATCTTTCTCCACAGAGCAGCTGGTGGTTTCAAATTACAGAGCTTTTGAAGCCCAACTCATAGCCACTGTGCCACCAGGGCTCCTTTACTCTCAACATTTCTGACAGTTGGAAAGGTTTAATCATAGGGCAATTGGAGTCTTAAATAGAATGTATCTCTGGAAAGGCAGGTAGCGTCAACTTCTTCAGATATAAAAAATGGAAGATCACTCCATATTTTAAATCTAGATGAGGGAAAAATTAGGGAAACCAGGAGGAGGAACTGAGTTTTAGGCAGAGTGATACTGAGTTTGGTTTGGAATGTGGTACCAATGTTTCAACCAGGTAGAAATAGTTACTGTGTAGTGTGGAAAGACTTTGATTTTGGACTGAGAGTTGATGGCTAACCATGGAAGATGGTTAGAAAAGAGAAAGCTAAGTAGAGACCCTTCTGTATAAAGGATCAATAAAGAATTAATCAAATATGAATAATGATGACCAAAGACATGGAAGTGGTAGTTGATAGTTCCTAATAAGGGAAAGAGAACAAAATAAGTCAGCACTGAGAAAAGACGTGAATTTTACCAACTCAGAGAAAGTGGGGTAGGGCTGACTCCTGACACTAATCTCTTGGGAGGGGAGGGAAACAGAGTCCTTGTGTGAGTCTGGGTACTTTAGAGAAACAAATCCACAGAAACTCATGTAAAAGAGAGAGTTTTATATAAAGGTTAAGTGCGCATCAAGAAAACATCCCAATCCAGTGCTGCCCAAGCCCACAAGTCCAACATGTCCATATGTCTTAAAGCAATCCACAGAGTCCTCTGCTGTCCCACAAAACAGACACAATGATGCCGACTGCAGGAGGAAAGCAGAATCAGTGAACATGTAAGCATCTCAGCGCTGGCAGGGGTCTCCACATGGGTGCTTCAGCACCCAGGGCTGCATGGGGTAGGTCCATGTGGCTTCTCCTCAGGGATGTCTTGCAGGAAGTGAGCCTTGCAAGCTAAAGCAGGGAACTGGCTAAGGCATTTGCACCTTGGTCCAACTATCACAAAGCAAGAGACCCGAGAATTCGAAAGGCAACGCTCACCGAGCCATTTATCTCTCTTCCCTTCAATTAACCCTACGTGTGTTTATTGGCCAGGTTGGCACAATAAAGTAACTACCTCAGCCCTACCTTACTTTTCTTTTGTTGTCCAATACTACCTAGCTTTTACAAAGCTCAGCTTCTACCTAATAATAATAGCTAGCATATGTTGATAGTTTATTATATGTCTCTCAGTGTGTTATTACATGAATTTACTAAAGATAGAATATGCTTTCATACTCAGACTTAAATTTTAGTTTGTGAAAATGATACCTTCTTCAAATGATAAGTAATAATACATGATAATGTATGCTACTGAAAAATGAGTGAATCAGTCAAAAGTAATGAGAATATAGAGACAAAAGTCAGTCTAGGATTAGATTGTTGTAAAAGGTTTTGTGAATGGGGTAGGATTTGATCTGGACTTTAAAGGAATAGGTATTAGTTAGACTGTTGGCAGTGGCAAATGAATAGGGGTTGAAGAAGTGGAAGCATTTCAAATTAGGAGGACAACTTGGAGCCAAAATATAAAAAAATAAGAAAGCACAAGATGTGTTTGGGGACAATTAAGCAGCATTGTTTGGTGGCTTCATAGAGCATGTCATTAGAGTGGGAGAAGGACTTCAAAAGTACACTGTGATCATGTGTTTGTTTGTTTTTTTAAACATTTAATAGAAATCCATAGAAAGCTGTGAGGTTACAATCGGTCTTATTTACAAAAGAAAGCTATAGTTCTCAACTATTTACTGCTTGGATTAAATATATATATTTAAAGAGATATTTTAATTTTATTTCTAGAGTGCCAGTTAATGAAAACAGAACGACCAAAACCAAATACATTTATTATCAGATGTCTCCAGTGGACCACCGTTATAGAGAGGACATTTCATGTAGATACTCCAGAGGAAAGGTAAGAAACCCGTTTTCCAGTTGTTTCAGAAGGCAATAATTACTCTAAATAATTACTCTAAAGATGTGTTTGTATCTGATTTCACCATCTGTAGGTACATTTAAGCACATTTATGCAATGCTATAGTACCTTCAATATTGAATGATGCAGGAATCTTAAAAGGAAAAAAGAAGGAATACACAGAGCCACTGTAACAAAAAGAAGTGATTGACATTCAACCATTTCAAAAGATAGTATATGATCAAGAAATAAGGGTATTGAAGGAAGAAGTCCAAGCTCACTGAAGGGGTGGGAGGAAAAAAAGGCTTCAGGAATTCATGGGATAATATTTGAAACGTTTCCACATACTGAGTGCTGGAGTTGCTCACTTGACTATGCCAAGACATTTGGAAGACAGCTATACAGCCAACTGATAGGAAGAGATCCATATCTGTGTCCATCCCAAAGGAAGGTGACCCAACATAATGCAGAAAATACTCAACAATATCATTAATATCACATGGAAGTAAAATTTTGGCATATATAATTCAGAATTGGTAGCAGCAGTGTAGTGATTGGGAAATACCAGAAACTCATGGTAGATTCAGAAGAGAGTGCATGTAAAACAAGGGAAATCATTACAGATGTCAGATGTATATTGGCTGAAAGCAGAGGCTACCAGAAAAAGACATATTTGTGTTTTATTAATTATGCAATGTTTTTGATTATGTGGATCATGACAACTATGGATAATATAAAGAATGGGAATTCTAGAATATTTCATTATGCTCATGTGGAACTTGTACATAGATCCTAGGTGTTCAAACAGAATATGAAATACTATGTGATTTGAAATTGAAAGTGGTATATGCTGGAGTATTTTAATTAACCATATTTATTCGGTCTGTATACTGAGCAAATAATCTGAGAATCTGGACTACATGAAGTCAAGATTGAAGGAAGACCAAAAGGCACTCATTGAAACAAAACAAGGGAAAACCAAGTGACCTCAAATCAGGAAAGATACATCTTTTCACCATACTGATTCAGTTTGTATGCTGAGCAAATCACCCAGCAAGCAGGAATATATGTAGAACACACTACAATAGGATTGGAGGAAGATTTGTTTATAACCTGAAATATGCACATCATACAACCTGAAACAAAAGGAACTTGAATCACTTACTGATAAAGTTCAAAGATTATGAACCTCAGTATGAATTGCAACTCAATTTAAATAAAACAAGACTTCAGCAACTGGACTAATAAACACCCTGGTAAATGAAGAAAAGATTGATGTTGTCAAGGATTTTATTTTATTTGAATTCACAAGCAATGCTCATGGAATTGGCAGTCACAAAATCAAATGACATTAACATTGGACAAGTCAGCTGGAAAAGAACTCTTTAAAGTGTTAAAAAGCAAAGATGTCACTTTGATGACAAAGGTGTGCCTGACTCAAACCATGATATGTTCAATCACTTTATATGCATGCAGAAGTTGAACAATGAATAAGGAAGACCAAAGATGAATTGATACCATTGAATTAAAGTCTTGGTGAAGAATATGGAATATATCATGGATTTCCAGAAGAACGAACAAATCTGTCTTTGATAAACTATAACTCAAACGATCCTTATAAATCTGACTAATACGACTCCCTCTCATATACGGTAGATATATCACCAGGAGAGGAACTACTCCCTGAAGAAGGACATAATGCTTGGTAAAGTAGATGGGTCAGCGAGAAAGAGGAAGACTGTCAACAAGATAGATTGACACAGTGGCTGAAAAAATGGGATCAAACAGAGAAATGCTTATGATGATTACAGAGGATGAGATAGCTATGAGTATTAACTAACTCGACACCTAACAACTACATAGTTGAATTAAAGAGCTTCATTAATGAATAATTGATGTACAACAGTGGTTTGTAAAATTGATTAATAACAGTGATTTGTAAAATACTAAATTAGAATCACTAAAAGTGATCTAAAACCTGGTAAGCCAACTTCTTTTATTATAAATTGTAGAATGTATTAAGTTTATATTTGAAATTCTGAGGCAAAAGATTTTGAGTAGTAGGCCATCTGTATATAAGTGCAAATGACTGCTCTGAAGTATTATGCTAGAGATACCATATGATCCAGCAATCCTGATACTTGGTATATATCCTAGAGAAATAGGAGCTTTGATACAAATAGATAAACAAGAGAGCTTCCGCAAAGTCGTATATACATGGATTAAATAATAATTTGGTTTCAGTAATTCTTCTCTGTTACATTGCCCTTGATCAAGCCCTACCAGACCCCCCACACCCTCCTTGCCATCAAATTTTGGTCACTTGTTGTTCCCTTGTCCTGTCAGTCCAGGTTGTTCTCCCTTCTGGCTTCTTTATCCCTCCTATCTCATCCAGATAGACATGCAGCAACAGCAATATGCACAAACACAAGACCAAGCATAACAAAGCAACAATAGAAAATAAAACAATAGCTACAACAACAACAAAAAGGCAATGACAAAGATAAGCCTATAAATAGTTCAAGGACTATTTGTTGTCCTTTACAAGTGTTTTTCAGTTGAGTCCAGGAATTACTGAAACTCAAATGAAGGCCAAACATGATAATGGGACAAGAGGAAAGTAAAAGGAAATAGAGGAAAGAACTAGGAGGCAAAGGAAATGTATAGAGATCTAAATACAGGCATGTACATATGTAAATATATATATGATGATGGGGAAATAGATCTATGTACATATATTTATAGGTTTAGTATTAAGATAGCAGATGGACATTGGGCCTCACACTCAAGTACTCCCTCAACACGGGAACACTTTGTTCTAATAATCCGGCACTCTGAGATGCTCACCTTGCTGAAACAATTGCTGAAGACAAAGTGGGTGCATAAGCAAATGTGATGAAGAAAGCTAATGGTGCCTGGCTATCAAAAGATATAGCATCTGGGGGTCTTAAAGACTTGAAGGTAAACAAGCGGCCATCTAGCTCAGAAGCAGCAAAGCCCACATGAAAGAAGCACACCACCCTGTGTGACCACGAGGTGTCGATGGGATCAGGTTTCAGGCATCAAAGACCCGGAGCAAAAAAGTCATAATGTGAATGTTTAAGGGAAGTGCGGATTAGAGGCCCAAAGGCAATCTGTAAGCAATTGGACATCCCCTTACAGAAGGATCGTGGGTAGAAGACGGGCCAGTCAGGGTGCAGTACAGCACTGATGAAACATACAGCTTTCCTCTAGTTCTTTAATGCTTCCTCACCCCCACTATCATGACCCTAACCCTAATTCTACCTTACAAATCTGGCTAGACCAGAACATGTACATAGGTACAGATAAGAGCTGGAAACACAGGAAATATAGGACAAACTCCTGGGGACCAATATTGAGAGTAGCCATACCAGAAGGGTAAGGGAAAGGTGGGGGGAGAAAAGGGGAACGGATCACAATGACCTACCTATATAACCCCTTCCCAGAGTAAATAAAAATAATATTTTCAAAGAATATTTATTGACTTGAAAAAGGGAAATTGGTAAACAAACAGTGGACACAACTATGCTAGGCCCTGAACTATGTGCTAAAAGTAAAATAAAGAGCAAGGGAGGCAGGAGTAAGTTTACTTTTTCCCTGTGAGTGCCTACCAATTCTGGAAGAAATGTCTGAAATATTGAGAAGCTGAGCTAAAACTTGAATAGCTCTCAGAGCTTCAAGCCATATTCAAGAATAGAGGGCACATCAAAAGGAGCAAGGCACACATGATGTTTTGAGCTGGCATCCTACAGGACAACATCTTACAAGAAAAGGCAAACTGAGAATAGACTGACCAAACTCATTTTAATTTATTTCTATACCATAAATGGGATTAAGGTCAATCTGGTTTTGTAGTCTCCCAAGAGCCTGCTGAAAACAACTGTAAATACTCACTAAAGGAAAATATCTTACGAGACCTCAAAGCTTCAAGAAATTTTCTTTTTCCTGGATTAAAAATAACCAAAAACTGGTTGTGGCCATATAGTGAAAAGCAGTTGCCAGAAGTTAAAGGTGAATTCAGAGGAGAACATGGAATGGAGGATATCATTGCTGATGTCAGATGAATTCTTCTGAATAGAGAGAACACCAGAGAGATGCTTACTTGTGTTTTATTGACAGTGCAAAGGCATTCAACTGGGTTGATCATAACAAATTACGGATATCGTCAAAAATGAGAATTCTATAACAGGTAGAACCTGTAAATATATCAAAAGTTAATTCAAACTGATCAAGGGGTTATTAACTAGTTTTAAATAGAAGAGGGGCTGTGTCATTTCGCCCCCCACCCAACCATATTTATTCAATTTGTATGTTGAGAAAATAATCATAGAAGCTGGACTGAAGGATGTGGTGTGAGGATTGAAAGATTTTTCAATAACTTGTGATACACAGATGTCACATCCTTGCTTGTTGATACACTGATGAAGGTCAAAGACTGCAATGTTCAATATGGGTCACACTGGAGCATAAAGAAAATGAAAATCCTCACAACTCGACCAAAAAAGAGCATTATAATAAATAGCAAAAGTATTGAAATTGTTAGGAATTTCATTCTACTGAGATCAGCAATCATTGCTCCTGGAAGCAGTAGTCAGAATGCATGTAGTCAAGAAATCAAATGATGTTTTTGCATTGGATAAATTTGTTGCAACAGACCTTTTAAAAGTATTAAAAGTAAAGCTGTCACTTTGTTAATTAAAGCACACCAGATCCAAGCTATGTTTTTTCAGTCACATCATGTGAGTATGGAAAATTGAAGAAGAATTAATGCATTTGAATTATTTTGGTGAAGAATATTGATTACATTGTAGACTTCTAGAAAAATGAACAAATCTATCTCGGAGGAAGTATATAACCAGAATGCTCCTTAGACAGCATGGTGAGACTTCCTTTTGTTTATTTACTTAGACATGTCAAAAGGAAAGACAAGTTGCTAGAAAAGGGCATCATGTTTGTTAATACAGTGGATCAATGAAACT